AAAGAGTATGTTTGCATTTTCCCAAGTATGCTGAATTCTACAACGGGATTCAGAATTTGAAATCATTTATCTATGCTAACTGGTTTAAGAAAGAAATTATCTGAACAGCTTTGGATCAGAAGGCAAATAGCCAAAAAAAACAAAAACAAAAAAAACGCTGCTCTTCATTTTGAAGCTGTAAACATCAGCCTATAGGGACCACCCATAACCTTCCAAACTAGTTTAAAAGTTACTCATTACTTTAATCTATGCAAAGGAATAAAATGACAAGTTAATGTTAAAAGCTTCAGTTTCATTGAGTCTATATTTTTAACTTATTACCTGGAATCAAGAGAAGTAAAAAGCTGATCAAACTGTTTCTCCAGAACTTCTATAAGACTGACTGTTTCCTCTTTTGTTTGACTGTGTATGTGTTCGAGCATCTGGGAAGAACATAATACAAAGATATAATTTGGTATTTCTATTTTGGAGGAACTGTACTCTTTAACATAATTTTGAAAGTAAAAGATACTTTTTGGACTTTTCAAAATAACAACACAAGAGGAGATTAGATGATAAAAATGGACTAATTCACAAGGTTAAACTTTAAATCCTGGTACTTGTTAGCAAGATCACATCTTTTTTGGCACTTTGTACTGATAAACTGGCAAAAAGGCCTAGAAAACCCACTAAGTTTTCTAAACTTCTTATCATTTCAATCAGTACAGGAAATGAATCGTTTTGGATAGCTGAATTTCTCTCTGGTAGGATTCCTTAAATTTATAAAACTTAAAATGTAGTATTAAAAATATTTGAAATAAAGTGTTAACTATTTCACATACTTCTTCATATTTTCAAAGAATCACTGCTTGGTATCTGTGACCTTTTCTTCTTCCAATTTCTTTTTGGAATGGGAATATCTACCTATGCCTATCCAACCAGTGTATTTTAGGAGATAATTTATTAGTTTCACACATTCACAGTTGGAGAGGAATTTTGCCCCAGCATGAGTCATTCTCTGAGTCTCACCTATACCTGATTTAGAAGATACTTAGATGAGATTTTGGAGCTAGAGTTGACGCTGAAATAGGTTAAGAATTTGGGGTATGTGAGATGGGATGAATGTATTTTGCATGTGAGAAGGATATGAATCTGGGAGGGCCAAAGGGCAGACTGCTATGGGTTGAATTCTGTACCCCACTCCCCTTTCAGATTCACCTGTTGAAGTCTTAACTCCCGTATCAGCTATAACCCTTTGAGTGCCTTGGCTGTGAATTTGCTGCTGCTGGGTGTAAGGAATTTGTTCCTTCTCAAT